GCCAGATTTGAACTCAGGAAGATGAGACTTCCTGACTCTGGACCTATCACTCTATCTACTATGCCACCTAGCTGCCCTAATGATTCTGAAGGCCCATTCCATTTCTAAATCATGATCCTCTGATCCTTGTAGGTAGATGTAGTGTTAGCTCAAGAACTTCAGGGTATTTTGCCTGAACAAGAGAGAAGACTTAAGGAGGACATGTCTGTTTTCATATAACTGAAGGGTCATCTTGTGGAAAAGGCCCCTTCTTGGCCCCAAAGAGCAGAATTGGGATCATTAAAGTTGGAAGCTATGGAGAGGCATATTTCATCTCAATAGAAGCAGGGGACCTGGTTAGCCAGAGAATTCCTGGCTCCTTGGAAGTGTTCTCTCAGAAGCAAGATGACCACTTGGGGTCATCCTGTTGGGGATGTTGCAGAGGCAGCTTCCTTATCCTCCGGGATAGATTAGATAAACTCTATAATCCCTTCAAACTCTGTAAGATTGCAGCCCCTTTAGATTATGCTCTTTTCTCTAACATTTATAAAATAAACGACACTGCCAATCAAGATGCGCTGCCATTTGTATCCCACCCCGGAAATTCTATTCCAAAAGAAATCTTGATCATGAGCCTTGGAGTTGGGAGACAGAGTACACCAGCCTCATACCAGCAAGCCTCAGATGAATGCATCCCCTGGGATACTAAGCAAGAAAATACAGATAGGTTTAAATAGCCGCAAAGATGAAACACCTCATTTTGAGGAGTCAGCTTCTCTAAATGTTTATAAGATCTCTGAAGAAATGCTCATAAATTTACATGAGGCTTCTTGTGCTATTATGTCATTAATGGAGCTGACTTTATCATCTTAGCATTTCTTGTTTAAAAGCTGCTTCTTTTTTTTTTTTCATTTCCTTTGCTCCTAGCACTCATGCCTGTCACTTGGTATTCAACAACTGAATGGAAGGAACAGGGAAGGGCTGCTAATGTACTGGTGATAGAACTGGCAACTTCTTAAAAGGATTGTCATCAGCATTTCATTTTAAGACTTTTTTTTTACCTGTAACCTTGTCACTATTTATTTGATTTGAGTTCTTTTCTCTCTATGGTACATAGCAATATGAATAGAAAGCATTAACTCCCTAATTGTAGTCTGAACATGTAAATTAAGCCAGCATTGTCATGCAGTTTTGATTTGTATTCTATAGAACAGAAATTTCTCCTCATGCCACACCTCACCAAAAAAATAAATTCTTCACACAATACATCTGATGCCCAAATTATTTACTTGGAGTAAAATGACAATTTAATATTTAAGCTTATTGTGGAAATAACCTAAATCATTTTAAAGATTAACATGATTTACTCATAATGAATTCAGATATACAGAGATGATTATCTATGGTACAATTAGTTGTTAGATGTGCTTGTGAAATACGGATTACCTACCCTACCCTACCCTCCCCTGCGACAGGAATAAACCCAACTATGGAGCTACTGTAAGTGATATTGCCAATCTTGTTTTTGAATTAGCTTTCCATGTTTTCTAGGACTCATTATCTGTGTCATTAATGAAATGGGGTGGATGGCCTTAAACTCATCTCTAATAGACCTAGGGAGCCTTTACTGTGAAAGCAATCCTTTGAGTAGGGGGTAGAAATCCTTTTTTTTTTGTATTGAGTCATTGGCCCATAGGGAAAAGTTATTTGATAGTAAAATGCAAATAAAATGAAATTTGATTTAATTATTTGCTTATTGTTGGTTTATTATTGAATTAGGGTTTGGGGGGGAGGAGTAGGCATGGAGGGTGAGAACTGAGAGTGAGAAAAATTAAAATGATCCAAAGAACATGATTTTAACATAAAGGATGAGCAATTTAAAACTTTATGCAGTAAATACAAGAAAAAAATTTAATGAATCCTTCAGTTCCACATTCTGGCTAATGTAAACAGATGAATCAGGGGCAAGAGAGAGAGAGAGAGAGACAGAGACAGAGACCTTTTTACCCCTTAGATTCCACAGAGCAATTTGCACACTTATTCACTTATGGATTATTTTAGATTAGTTATTTATGAATAGACTATGTCTCTGGATTAACTGCAGAACTGCTCAGGTACCATTAGCAGGCAGGCTCTGCCTCCTTTAATAGCAATCCTGTCCCTCTAAGGTGTCAGATCTGCAAGGAGCAGACTACGAGTGGGCCAAGGTCCTGACATTAGTAATCTGACAAGCCAATAGCTGATTAGCCAAGAGGCACTCAAGGACAGCACAGATACACAAAATTTAAGGGCTGGAGGAGTCCTCAGACACCATCTAGTCCAAAAAATACTTGATAAAAAACAAAATCTCTCCTACAGTATTTCCCACAAATGGTTATCCAGCCTCAGCATTAAGAGCTCCAATAAAGGAAAACTCAGCACCTCCTAAAGCAACCACTGAACTTTTAGATAGGTCTGTTGCACTATAAACTGTCTACATATCAAGCCTCAGTGTATCTCTTTATGGCTTCTACCCATTGCTCCTACTGGTACCATCTGGGACCAAGCAGAATACATCCTATCCCAATCTGCTTCAGCACTTGAAGATCGGAGTCATATCCCCAGTTGTTCTAAGGCAAAGTTCTATAGAATAATGTCTTCTACCTGGGCTACTTCAGGGCTTCTGTGTTGGTCTTGCACCAAGAGACCCATGAGGGCTCATACAGGACCCTCACCCGCTGGTAATAGGGCTGTTAAACATGGTAGCCACATACCTCCTTGTCTCACTGCTTGTTCACCAACAGCCACAAGACAGAATAGGCCAAAAGGTATAAAGAGATCACAGGCCTAGACAGAATCTTGAGGCTTCTGCTGGCCTGTTGCTTTCAAATTCAACCTTCTTTTTTGTTTTAAGTGTACAGTGCCTATCTATTTTCACTTCCACTATCTTTCTACAATGGAAAGAGCACTTGTTCTGGCATTAGAGGACCTGGGTTCAAAACCCCACCTCTGACACAGCCAGTGTGACATGGAGCAAATCACTTATACAATTGCCAGGCTTAATTCCTTATTTTTAAATTATGGGTTGTTGAACTAGATGGCCTAGATCCCTTCCCTCAAGACTTTTTGTGTTCTGTGGCTTTGTGTTCTAGCTTCAGATCTATTATCCTTTGATCTACATCATTGGTTTCTTCCCAAAGATATTCACACCTGTGGACACATCTTGTTTTCAAAAGATTTCTGGTACTCTACTGCTTCTTGTGGCATCCTATCAATTTCACTACCTGTTCTGTCTTCATTGTAAGGAACTCTCAGTGAGGATGTTTCCTCTACCAGTGGAGACCAACATCTGTTCTACAACTTTAGTTCAGTTGATGATGACTATTTCTCTTTCTTTTGTCCCAAAGGAGTGGGTGTTCTTGCTGTCAGTGAAAGAGAGAGAGAGAGAGAGAGAGAGAGAGAGAGAGAGAGGGAGAGAGAGAGAGAGAGAGAGAGAGAGAAGAAAGAAGGAAAGAAGGAAGGAAGGAAGGAAGGAAGGAAGGAAGGAAGGAAGGAAGGAAGGAAGGAAGGAAGGAAGGAAGGAAGGAAGGAAGGAAGGAAGGAAGGAAGGAAGGAAGGAAGGAAGGATGGGGAAAAAAAAGAGAAAAAGAAAGAAAGGAGACTGCATTAAGCCTAGGATAGCTTTACCAATATCCTTTCCCCAGTAGGCAACATCACCTGCTCTGAATTACACACATGTAAATACATAGTTATCCCTCTGTGTTGCACAGCACTTGATCTGTTCAGTTCAAGTGGGGAAAGAATTAGCTTATAGCTTCATCCTTTGATGAAATGCAAATGTAATACTCCACATAGCTATAATACTTTTCAGTGATAATCACCTTGCTAATATAATACACCTGACTAGAATCTGAATGGAGATGATAATGTCTGAGATGTCACTTACCTATCTTGCATTGATCTAACACAAAAAGCAAAATGACATCTGGGCTCTTTGAAGCCTTTAGGGTTCATCTAAGACTGATTCCTTCTGGGTAACTGGGCCTTGGGGCCCAGCATGGCAGTGCATCAGGTAGACCCTTTTCGCTGCATTCAGCTGAACAACACGGGGTTAAACTAACAGCTGTCATATTAGTAGGAACATTAAGTTTTATATGCCATTAGTCATGGTATAGTGGAAAAAATGATGGATTTAGAATCAAGAGACCTGCTCTGCCACTTAACTAACTGTGTGACCTTGGGAAAGTCGCTTAACCTCTTTGGGCCTCAGTTTTCTCATCTTAAAATCAAAGATTGGTCTAGATATTCACTAAGGCCCCTTCCTGCCATAACTCTTTGATCCTAAGATCCCAATCTTCACTATGCCAAGTTCGAATGGTCATACAGGGAGATGTCAAGAAAGTAGAGGAAAATGTGAGTGTGGTTCATAATCCCATGCAAAACTTCATAGCACAGTTGGGAAGGTTTGCCTTCTGCCAATAGGCACCTCTCAAGATTCATTCATACTCCAAATTTCTCAGAGTTATAAGGAAGGAAATGCTCTATAGTAGGTTGAAAAGCTTGCTGTTTTCAAACCAAGAATCTTTAAGGAAGGAAGGGGATAAAAGCACATGAAGGAATAGGAAATTAACCAATGGCTAAAGTGTAAGAGTTTCTTCAATAAACACGTTTCAAAGACAAACACCAAGAAGGAGACAGAAAACAATCAGAATAAAGGGGGCATTTATTCACATCTATGTCATATTGCAATATCAGGAATCTATAAGTAAATTTCAAAAGAAAGATTTATTCAATCTTGTTACTTCTCTGGGAACTAGTTTTTAGGCAGGTCGGGATCTTCCCATCATACTACATAACTCTAATAAGCTGTTTTGAAAACATATATCTATTTCTTAATCATATTAACTGATTAGCATTGCATTGTAAAGAATATCTTCCAAGAATGAGTTTGGGGAAAGAAGTATAGAACAAAAATGCATAGTCTACTGATATAATACATTGGGCTCCTATTCTTAATTTCTCTTGTTTTCTCTTGCTTCTAGAAACAGGGAAGATTGATCAAGAGATACACAAGTACAACACACCGGGATTCACCGGGTGTCTCTCCAGAGTACAATTCAACCAGATTGCTCCTCTCAAGGCAGCCTTGAGACCCACAAACGCCTCTTCTCAAGTCCATATTCAAGGGGAGCTGGTGGAGTCCAACTGCGGAGCTTCCCCACTGACCATCCCACCCATGTCTGCTGCCACTGATCCTTGGCACTTAGATTCAGGTAAAGTCTTAGGAAATTATTGATACTACTAGTTTTACTGGTAATAACAATATTAAACAACAATAATATCGTATTTCTTTTTTTATCCAAACTCATTATTTTATTAGCATAAGGAAACTAATTATATCAAAATATCTGCTTGGTCATTTCCATCACGTCCAACTCTGTGTTACCCCATTTGGGGTTTTCTTGGCAAAGATACTGGAGTGGTTTGCCATTTCCTTCTTCAACTCATTTTACAAATGAGGAACTGAGTTAAACAGGGTTCAGTGATTTGCCCAGGGGTCACAAAGTGTCTGAGGTCAGATTTGAACTCAGGAAGATGAGCCTTCCTGATTCCAAGACCAGTGCTCTATCCACTGTGCCAATGTTGAAATGTATTTATGAGAATCAAAAAAAACAAGTCAACAGACCCAGAGTTAAGGACCTCTGTTTTAGGCTTTCAGATTATCTGAATAAATTGGCTTCCTTATCTTTTTTTTTTCATTTATTCCTTTAATGGTTTGTATTCAGATGGTGTATGGGCCAGTATTAAAAGAATTGGTTCAATATGGCACAGTGTTGAACCTCACCCACAGCTTCTGCTTTTACAATAAGCAGCTCAAAGAAAGTCCAGCCTGTTTTCATACCCAAGGTTGTCCTTGGGACCAAGTTAGCGCTGCAGCTGATGAATCATAACATAGTCAACCTTAAAGCACAGCTGTAAAATAAAACCATACTTTAAATGCATTGGAATGCTGAATGTTTAAAGGTGAAAGAATTCCATTGTTGTGGTATCTCAACACTGAAACATTGTGTCTGCCTTTCCTTCCCTGATCTTATAAAGCTTGAGATGGGGACGATCAGATCATGCTTCATTACACAGCTTAAATATCCAGAAAAATGTCATTGCCTTAATGAGACATAATTGATAGTTTTATTAGTAACAACAATGTGCATTTAATTTCTTTAACCATATACCAGACCTCTCATAGCATTTATTAACTTCATCCCATTGCATTCAGTCGTGGAGAGTAAAGCTGAGAAAGGAACCAACTTGTTTCTCATTTTCAGAAAAGCCAATTTGTAGGCCATGAATTATAGGTTCATAGATTTAGAGCCGGAAAAGGCCACAGAGGACATTGAGTCCGATACGTTCATTTTACGGAAGAGGAAATGAGACCCAGAAAGATTAAGAATTACTCAGGATCATTCAGCAAGTGTTAGGGGTAGGATTTTAATTCAAGTCTTCCCCCCTCTACTTCCATTGTGAGACAGTATTTTTCTTTGTCCCTCACATTTAGATTCACATCATATCATAAAAAGCATTCCATTTAAGCACTCCATGTAACGCTAATGAGCATTAATAAACATTTGCTCTTTTAATAAAGTTATTTGGTTGATAAAACCAGGTCAGCAGGGTTGACCTTGCTGGTTTGAGCTGGTTTTCCTCTTGAGAAGCTGAAACAGAAAATACAGAACCAGAAATAAGTCAAGTGAGGGAGGCCATGAATCAAAATTAGAAGGGATTCTCAGATAAATGTCTTCCATCTCAAGACTGGATAAAAGAGGAAATAATTAATAATCTTTTGAAATACACAGAAGTTAACTCCTGCTGTTCATATGAAAGACTAACAGAATGCAGCGGGTGCAAGACCATAAACATTCCAACAATGCCTGCCAAGAAACTAACTTTTTAGAGCATCTGACACAGAAGCCTCTCCTCAGTTATGAGAGAGAATATTGGATTTGCTCATCTTTATTATAACTTCATTCACAAATTATTTGTTTTTCAATTCTTGTGAAATACAAATCCAGGTTATCAATATAGGTTCATTTCATGTCTTTTCAAAAAAGTTAAAATTTTATGCAAGGCATGTTTCAATTATTTTTCAATTCAATTCAATTTATTTTTATTTTTATTGATAATAACAAAGACTTATGAAGGTAAAACTTCTTAAATATACAGTTCAACATAAGGATCTGGGCTAAGGTTGTACAATATACATTGTGCTAATGTTTAAGTTATGGCTTCTACGTAAGAAAATACCTATTTGCAAATAGGGCTATCAACCCTACCCAAATTCAGAGATCATCTGAAGTTTGCCTATTTGCAAAGGGGCAAACAACCCTGCTCAAATGCAGAGTTATTAACTATGAAGGTGACTGACAAAATACATGCAGTGACTTAAGCTTTACATGTTATCTCATTAACTCCCACTACCTGCCCGCATTCTTAGCACAGCACTGATCAAGTGTGATGGCCCAAAAAGAAATGTATTTATCTGTTTGTTTTTTAACTTTCTAAGTATTTATCAAACACGTTCCAGTTTTGTGCCTATGATCTAATCAGTGCAATTGCCAGGTTTATGATCCCCAGGTTTCAATTTAGGAAAGTTTTCCTGATGAGAAGGTGAGGCAGAAAAAGACAAGAGTAGAGGTATGTGAAACAAAAAGTCACTGGTCAGAATTCAAGATTATCCTTAGCATTTTCTTTTCATTAATATTATTATTGTGGTTGTTATTAATGACAACTCATTTATATAATGTTTTAAAGTTCATACATTATCTTGTTTGACCCTCAAAACAAAACTCAAAAACCCTTAAATATCCCACTTTACAGATGAGGAAACTGAAATTTCAAAATGGTTAAGTGACTTTCCCAGGGTCACATAGTTAGTAAATGTCTTTGGCAGGACTGGAACCCAGGTCATCCTGACTCCTAAATGCAGTGGTCTTTCCCCTAGACACACACTGCCTCTTCTCAAAGGTCAATGAGACAAGAGATATTTTTTGATAATCATTGAGACAGGGGGTTGTTTGGTAACATGATAGATTTTTTTCTTCTTTTTTTTTTTTGGTACATAGAAATATGGGAAAGGAGAGAAAGTATAGCACAAATCTGGGAAATTTCCCATAGCCAATTTCAATGGATCAGAGATTATGCTCTGGCTTCTATAAGCGTATGATTATCCATTTGAATTCTGATTTGAGAAAAGGGATTTTGTTTTGTTTTCCTCAAGGAATCTATAAAAGACTGGATAATAATGGAGTTGCATTAGTTAGAAAAGCATAGCATTCTTATTATCGGATTCAAATACAAAGTATTTATGTGTATTTGCACACCAAAACACTACATGTTCATGTTGATGTTCCCAAGGTGGGTAACACTAGCCATTATGGCTTATGGAAAACCAGTAGTGCCCTCCCTCTTCTTAGGAGTTGGTTGGGGACTTTGAGTTCAAAATGAGATCTACATATTCCCTGGTACCATTTGGTTAGGCTTAACCACATCTTTTCTTTGTTACAAGAAAGGGTTCATCTTTGGAAAGGGGAAAATGATTTTCAGTCATTTTCACTCATGGCCAACTCTTCATGACCCCAGTTGGAGTTTTCTTGATAAAGATACTCAAGTGGTTTGCCATTTCCTTCTCCAGCTCATTTTACAGATGAAGAAACTGAGGCAAACAGGGTTAAGTGCTTTTCCTAGGGTCACACAGCTAGTAAGTGGCTGAAGCCAGATTTGGACTCAGGAAGATGAGCCTGCCTGACTCCAGGCTGGGCACTCTATCCCCTGAGCCACCTAGCTGGCCAAAGGGGAAAAAGACATATTTAGATATTTTTGCCATATAAAAATAAAAATAAGATTGAAAAATAAAAGATCAATGTGGCAAAGCAGAAAGAGCACTAGATTTAGAATAAGAAGATCTGGGTTCGAACCCTTTCTGTATGACCTTGGGCAAGTCTTTGGGTTTGAATTCATCTGTAAAATGAAAGATTTAGGCCAGATCAGGGTGTTGGGAGGCTCAAAGGAGATATTGGATGTAAAACACCTTGCAAACTTTAGAGTGCAATAGAAGTGCTGCTGATTACTATCATCAGCCTACTGTCACTAGACCTCCAGTCTGGTAATGACTTAATTCCCCAGCCTTCTACTATACCCCTTCTGAGCTCTAGCAACGTTAATAGAGCAGTTACAGAGGCATGCTGGTAAATGTTCAGCAACAGCACTCTTGGAGGGAAAATGGAGGGGGAGATCTGCCCACACTTTAAGTTTAATTTGAATGATTACATTTTCTTAAGTCTAGACAATCCACAGAACAATAAACTAAGCCCTGATTTGTAGTGGTTGCCAATTTCCAAAATGTAAATGCTTACATTGAAAATCTAGCAATGTTTCACAAGCCTGTTTGAGATGCTTCCAACACCCCCTTGAACTAGATGATCTATGTAAGGATAATTTTGATACCGCTACTTCATTTAATGAGCAATTATTAAGGTCCCTTCTAGCTCTAAACCCTATGATCAGGACACTAAAAGTCGAGATAACAAAAATGGAATTGAGGATAAATGTAAATCAGAAAATTCAGTCTTAGCAAAAAGAAATGTCAGCACATTACTAGTGCTTTTAAATGAGAGTTAGCCACACCGTAGGAGGGGTAAACTCCCACTTACAGTGTGACATTTATAGGTTACCATGACACCCATCAATGTGAGCCCAAACTCTTGATTTCAAAAGCCTAGGATTTCTACCACTTCCTCCTGCTCCCACCAGGATCACTGTTATTAATTTTGTGCTGGTTGTGGGAGGAAAGAAGCAAAGGGTAGAAAGTGGAGTAGGTGCTCTGCGTCCAGTCAAGAGCAAGACAAGCCCTTGGGTGGTACCACACCCATTGAATGGATTAGGTGGGTAAACTCTGAGGGGAGGTTGTTAGTGGAGGTCAGGGGCTTATGGAGGTAGTGAAGGAATGAGCTTGGCTGCCAGAGAGAGTTCAGTTAGGCATACATTTATCCCTAGGTCTGTCCCTGATTTCACCTTAAACTATTATCTACTCTCATTTGTAGCCAGCTAAGTGTTTGTGTAATCCAGACCCTTCCAGTTGCTATGGTGACTTTCAGCTGATGACAGAGCAGCTGTCTCCAACAAGTCCCATTGTTCACTGTGGTCTCACTCATGTGGAACAGGAATGTGATGGAAGGAGACTCAATGAGATTGAAATAGATCATTGCTTAAATGAGCT